ACCAACAAAATTAAAACTATACAACTAATTATTAAAAAAATATTTCATCGTGTATATGCGGATTATCCTCTAATTTTATTTAATACTTCCTCCGTTCCAAAATGTAAATTGTTTTGGGTAAAATTGCGAATATTAAGAAGATATTTAAAAAAAAATTATCTTATATATATAATAAAAATAATTTAACCAATAAAAAATGACTGCAAAATATTATTGATCACATAATAGTTAATGTAAATTGTTTTGGGTAAAATAACTTATATTTTGAAATATAAAAAAACTTTCAAAACATTGAAGCGGAGGGAGTAGATGAAAAAAAAAAAAAGCATTTTAATTAATAAACTTAATATGAAGTATTGATCTTCATGAAAAGAAAAGTATGTTCTAGTCGGTGTCAGAGATTCATAGTCCAATCTGATAAAAACTTTAAGACAGTTAAAGTTCAGCTTTTCAATCTTAAAAAGTGTCCAAAAAAATTTGACGAGCAACGATTTGGTCCAATATCAACCGTTGATTCGAAAAATCACTCAAGAAAAGTCATCCCGAGGAGGTGGGAACTCGCCACTCAGAGCCAAGCAATGTGGACCACATAACCGGGGCACGTGTTACGCTTACAAAAGAAACTTCAATATTGGTTTACCTTTCTCCACCATTCAATAGTATATTGTATGTGCATGCAACTTTTAAATTTTTGTTGGAAACTTGGAATTATGTACATGCCATTTTGTGCCCGTGTACGATCACTGTTTCACCCTTTATCAAATCTATGGTGGATATTTTCTTCTTATTTTCAAAGGACTTTTCCTTCACTTTTTATTGTCAAGTGATACCTAATTTTCTTACATACTATACTACTAGCTATATGTTTAAAAGGGATTCAATGAATATATTTTGTCTTACTTTCTTTACTTTATTCAAAATAAAATAAACTTCCTCTATATATTAATAGAGAAACACTAGGTAAAAAATCCTTAATAAAAGTTATTAAAAATTGTTAATAACATGAACCATTATGCAAATAATTAGAAGAGCCAACTATTTTAACCCAATTATTCACCAAATTTATACCATATATACAATTTATAATCATCAAACGAATATAGAAACAACGAATATGTGGTAATTAATATGAAAATTTTTATTTAAAGAATATAGAGTATATGTGAGAATATCTTATTTTCTTTTCAATAACTACTAAATTTTTTGATCCGCGTTAAATACGGAACTAGAATATTTAAAAACAAAAATTCATGAATTTTTTAATACACGGGAGAAATTAAAAATAACAAAGATCAAATGGTATATATCTCCATATAGATAAATATATTTTATCTTACAAAATTTAATTTGCATGACACTTAGATTAAATATATAGAATTTTTGAGAAATGCCACTTTTTAAAAATATCATTTTGAATTTTTTTTCAAAAGTGCCACTAATCCTCTATATATTAATTGAGTAGATATTTGGTGAAAAAATCATATGTGTTATTCAATGAGATTTCTAAGGATACATGTCATTTAAATTAACTAAATCTATATGTTATAGTGGAAATCTCTACATGTTTTTATTAATTTTATAACATAAACACATTAATACATGTTTTACAGATTTAAGTTTAAGTAAATGTAATACTTAGATTTACCATATCATCTTTCTTTTTTTAAATGATATATTAAAAAAGTTTTTGTTATTATATTTGTAACAATATTATTTATTTGTAGATGATAACTACATTTACTGATATTTTTACATTTTATTATTGGAAAACATATATTTTTCGTTTGTTATGTCCGAAAAATTTATTTGATTTATCGCATGCTCTATAATTTAGAATATAATAAATGACATTTGCATTAGTTATAAGATTTTTAGGCAAAATTGAAATAAATGACATTTGCATTAGTTATAATATTCTTATGAAAAATTGATTAAAACATGTGACATCAAAATATGTTTGATCAAAATTAACTTTATTACATTTATACACAATACATATCATTTTGTACGTTTATAGATATTAGAATACACGTCTAAATATTAAGATCAATTAAAAAACATATTTAAATAATTAATCCCACGTTTGACGTGGGTCAAAATCTAGTTAATACATTATTCTGAAAGATATAAAAATTGATAGTTTATTTAGATAATTAGCACTACATAGCTTGAGCTAATCAAACGATTTAAAAATAATAATATTCAATCATTTTAAAACAATTTTTATTTTGCTAAACAATTTTTTTTTAAACTAAATAATAATATTCAATCATTTTAAAATATTTTAATCGAATTGATCTTGCAAGAGATCTTTGTAACCTTTTTATAGGACTTCTATAAGAGATTAATGATTACAAAGTAAACTCATGTGTTTTCTTTCATCGCGTAAATTCTTTTAGGGAAATGTTCATTGAATTGTGAATTATCATTCTTACTATATATGTATTTCTTTCAGCTTAAGGCACTCTAGATGTGTTGATTGGTCTTAGATTGTATTAGTGACAGTACTTTGTGTTCCTTAAAGATTAAGGTATTCGATTTTTTTTCTTTCCGACGATTGGATTGTTACCATAATATCCCATAGTCGACATAAAGAACCAAAATACTTTATGGAAAAAAAACTCATTTGACTCATAAATATATTTTT